CTCTGGTGCAAATTACTGACCTCTGTCATCATTTTAAGTGGGGGAACTTGCACAATCGGTGGCTGACTAAATACTTTTTTGCCCCACTGTATATGGACGTTTATTGATGTTTCTATTGTACCTAACCATCCATTCTACTGCTTATTTGGGTCCTTGTCCCAGGGGGCAAAAGTCAAACAGAGTTGACTAGATCTCCCCTCTCTCTGTCTCTAGCCACCGCCTACAGATTAGGGACCATAATGAAGCATTTCAGTCATAACATACAATGTCTTCAAGACATCTTGGATCAGGCCTGAGGTCACCAAGTCCAAAATACACCTCACCACGAAAGCCATGAGGCACCTTAACTCAGAGCATCTCCAAGATGAACAAGCTTCTCCTCGAGTTTAGAAATATTTCACAGAAAGCTCCTTTCTGTCTGTCAGCTAGACGCCAGGTAGGAACTTTGCCTAGAGGCTCAGCTCTGTCATCACCACAACAGACCAGGTGGGCACCCGTATCACCACAGCTGCTCGGGATCAAGACCCTCAAGCACCTGAACTCTGTAAAAGTTAGCCAGCCAAGCCAAGGACTCCTCACTCTCCTAACCAGCCTCGTCACATGAGCTGAGCAGTTACAGTAAGCTTACCAGCAGATGTAGACACTGTGGGGGAGTAAAGAATAAAAACAACAAGCCATAAGTCTGTGAAGGTTCTCAGTCATCCAGGCCATCGTAGTCAAAGGAGCTTGCAAAGAAAAGCGTCTGGACTTCTTTAAGTTGCTTGAAGACGCTTCTCGGATAAGAGGTGAAACGTCTTCAAGCAACTTAAAGAAGTCCAGACGCTTTTCTTTGCAAGCTCCTTTGACAACAAGCCATAAGCACACTGTCAACATCCACATAGTTAGCAGCAGCACTTCCACTCCCATCAGATCAGCTAACAGGAATCTGACTCCACTCTGCAACTCAAACAGAAGTTAGAATCAAAAGATTTCCAAACTGCACCCCTGCAGTGCAAAGTCACAGCGAGTGTGGGGAGCTAATGTCTTTTGAATACAGGCGTAATGACACGACATTTCCAGACAAACGTTCCCACAGGACGTCAGCACTCTTACTTGTCTTTTACCCTGAAAAGCGAGAGAAATTCGAATGTCGAGCACCTTTTTTCCACCTGACGACAGCTCATCAGAAGTGAGTTGTCTGAACCTATTTAACCATCCAGTAAACCTAATCTGTGGAGCCTATTGGGGAAGGTTTAGCTGTCTTGATGTCACCCACCCACGTGAGAACAGAGAGCAGGCCGTACCTCATGAACTGGCTGAAGGCTTTGTAGTTGGTGAGCTCCCTGTAGTCCTCCTCTGTGAAGATGTGATCGACATCCTCCAGGCCCCACTCCCTCGCCAGCTGCGCCGAGGTCTTCTGTTCTAACGGTTGCTGAGAAGAAAGCAGAGCATCAGACCGTGAACAAGGGTGGACTCGTCACCGTTGATCACTGTTGGGGTTTTTGGGAGTCAAGCGAAAACGTCTTTACCTTCGTTGTTTCCTCCTGACTGCTGTCTCGATCCCCATCGTCTTTTTTCTTTTTCTTGGTTTTCTTCTCTTTCCTTTCTTTATGTTTCTTCTTTTTCTTTTTCTCACCAGATCCATAGTCGCTGGCAATGCTGTCCGAGTTCTCGCCGTAGTCTCTTTCTCTGTCCGAGTCTCTCTCTACATCACTGTCCTGTGCATGCAGCGAGAGATGAAAAACAAAAAAGGAAGAAGAGCAGTTAAGACGCTGTAAAAGACGTCAAACTTCCAAAATCCACAGGCCGAGGAAACTCACGATCTTCTTGCGTTTTTTTGCTTTGACAGGTTTCCCTTCCTTGTCTTTCTTTTTTGTGTCCTTCTTCTTCTTCGGCCGGCCTTTCTTCCTCAACGGGACCTCTCTGTCTGATAGCTCTGCCTCTTCCTCTGAGGAGGAAGAGAGAGAGAGAGAGAGGGTTAAGAAAGCGTGGAAGAAAAGACAGCTATCAGAATCAGCTGAACATTAATCTTCTCAAAACGCTCCCCGACAAGCCCGCTAATCCCAGCTGAACATAATTACACATGACAAAGGCTGCACGATAGCCACACAGTGGCATCGCTGACCTCTGACCTTGTCTGAATTGTGACACATGCTAAATTAGATAGTTTGTCAGAGCGCTCTAAGTAGATTTGACAGCCGGTTGCTGCAGCCTGGGGATGTAATTGGTTTATGGCAATGCAAAGGGTGATCATTACCCTTGTTAAAAAGAAAAAAAAAGAAAAACAGAGCCCTGGGGGAGGAAGTGGTGGTGGTGGGGTTGTTGCTGATAATCAATGGATACGTCCTGATGAGTTGAGGATGGATTTAAATTTATAAAACTTTTATTTCAGGGAAGAAATAGTCTGAAAACCTCAGACAGCTCAGAGGGGACTGAGCCACTGTGCAGAAACTGAAACCAGCTGACATTATGTGGCATAAGACCTGAAAATGTCAGGCCAGTTATTCCCGATTTTACGTGGGAATCATCGCAGCCACGGGGGGAGAAAGGAATTTAACCTGCAGGCCGACCTGGCTTACAAATGACAAGAGAAACACAGGAAGACGAGGGCAGATAGCAGCCCAGGCTTCGCGGAGAAAGCAGCAAAGCGTTGAAGCATAACCAAGATATGGGCTGCGGTCTCCGCCAGCAGCTCGTCCCGTTTCACAGGCTGCGATTTGTCGGTTTTTATTGTCTGCCTGCCTTTGTTGGTGCGCGCTCCCCCCACCACCACCAGCAACAGCAGCAGCAACAGCCATCCCCTCACCTCCTCCTCACTCCCACCCCGTCCACCAGCCAACCCCACTTCCCGCGTCTGCGTGCAGCGTTCAGCCGCCGAACGCACGCCGGGGGCGGCAGCGGCACGCACGCGGGGCTCGGTGATTCAGAGGCCGCCGGAGCGGTGAACTGGAACGACTTCTCTCCCGCTCAGGCCCCCTGACCACCGCTGTGACCGCTGCTGGAAACAAGGTCGCGATGGGGTTAAGGTCCTCCCGCCGGGAGGCCTCGACACTAATTTATCTGTCTCGCACTGCGTGACAGCAGGTCCACGGAGCCCTCGAGCTAATTAAGTACAAAAAAGTGGGATGATTTGTGCAGGCTGCCGTCCTGACACTCGGAGCTCCGAGCTGACTTCAGTCACATCCAAACCAGAGCTCACAGTACAGCCCACGACGGCAGCTTTCAGCCGTGCATCTGATCTCCACTGTTGCTGTGTGGTCAACCAGCCTCCACTCTCTGCACCCTTCACTTTCACTGCCCCCCCGTGCAAGTTCACTGCCACAGAAACTTCCAGAATGTCATTTAGTCAATCATCGCCTGACGCGATCGATATTTGTATGTTGCTGCTGCTGCTGCGAAAGGGGGGGCGGTTAAGAATCAGAATGGGACACAGACACACTAACACCCAGCTCCGAGGCGCCAAACATGCCCGATAATAGACGTTTAATACGGGTAACGACCGAGCAGGTCCTCCGGAGCTGAACGCAGTATGGGTACCTTTTACAAAACGAGCAGCATGCGGGCAGTGCTGTCCTGTCCTGACCTATCACAGAGACAACCAGGCAGTTTGTGCCTCTCGCCGCGATTTCACACACTCGCCCGGCTCTGTGACTGCATCGTCTCCCCAGACTGCTATCAGATTTATACATAGCCTCCGGCCAAGAGGAGAGTCCATGCTAGCGTGTGTGCCAGTCCTTCAGGGCGACCTCATTACCCCCGCAGACCTCTGCTTTTTAAAAACAATTTGCAAGTACTGCACGTCCAAGAACCCCACCAATAAAAAAAAAGCAAGGGACTATTTTTTTTTTTCTTTTCAACAACTTTTCACGACTGTGAAGTGAGATTACGACGAAGTGAGGGGGGGAGGCAAAGCCACAACAGCGGTGCCAAGTTCAGTTTAAACTTTTGCTGGGGATGCTAGACGCAAAGAGGAAGTGGAGTGAGGACAAAGTGCAAAACACAGCAGAAACACATCAGTAGGTTGTGTGTGTGAGTTTGTGGCGTTTTTGTTGCAAACTGGACTTGTGTTTGCACAGCGCGCTCTCGCAGCTGCAAATATGGCACCTACAGCAACGTATAGCTGCCATAACAGGACAGCAGCCTGAGTGCGGCTGTCTTTTTTTTAAGAGGAAGGAAAAAGTGTTAAAGGAGGCTTTCTTTCTTTCTTTTTTTGTTGTTGTTGTTGTCTGCGCGCACTCGAGATCTCGCTGCTTTCTACTGTACCGATGTGGACCTGGATGGGATGTGTCGGAGGAGGGGAGGGGGGATTAAAAGAAAGAAGATCTGCGGGTTTCGGACACTTCCATCACGCGCTTTTCTATCTTATATTTGTGCCTCTAAGAAAAGCAGCAAAAAGCGCGCGTGAGTGTGTGTATTTCTTATTTCGTGTGCGCGCTCCCGACCTGTCCGCCAGTTTCCCGTTTTTTACTGTACCTGGCGCGGCTGGTGTTGCAGTTTCCCGAGGCGCCGCCGGCGAGTTTATGTCGCTTGCGTTCTCGTCCAGGTCCCCGTCGTCGTCTTCTTCATCAAAATCTCCTCCCTCGGAATTAACCACCATGCCCTCGTCTTCCTCACAGGACCGGAGAGGAGAGGACATTATATCCCTGTCATTGGATCCGTCCTTGTATTTAAAAAAAAAAAAAAGAAGGAGGGAGAAAGAAGAAGGAGAAGAAGAAAGGGGGAGAAAAAGCGCGTTCTTGTCCGATTATATGATATTTATTTAATATTCAAATCGGCTCAGGAAAAAGTGGGGGGCGTTTTGGAATATTTTACACCAAGGCAGAGCAACAAAGATGGCCGCCCTCTTATATTTATTTTTTAACAACCCCCCCAATAAGAAAAAAAATCCCCTTACATAAAAAATGGCTGACTATATTATTTCAGAACGCACCCCCCTCCTCCTTTCTCTCTCTCTCTCTCCTTCTCTCTTTCTCCCTCCGCGCGCCCCCTCCCTCCTCAAAAACGTACACATTGTTACAAGGAGCAAAAAAAAGGGGTGTGTGACTGCATGTAAGTTACATTGTTACTTGTTTGTTTCTTTTCACTCTGACCCCCCCACCTCCCCTCCTCTCTTTTTTCCCCTCTCTCTCGCTCTCTCTTTCTCTACCCCCCCACCCTCCCAGCCCCTCAAGTCCGGATCAGTCACGAATCCGGCAGACTTGCCTGGTGTCACTGTCACTTGCCAGATCACACGCAACAACTCTCGCTTTCTGCATTGCAGACCCCGACACAAATCTATCAAATATGGCCACCTTATATTCTCCGGAGCCCCCACCGTTGTGCTTCAAAAAAAAGAAAAGAAATTATTTTGGAGCAGCAGCAGTAGGGTTGGGCACGCGCTTGTATATATACGTGTGTGTGTGTGTGTGTGTGTGTGAGCGTGTGCGTGTGCGTGTGTATGAGTGCTGGGGAGGGATTGAGAGAGAGAGAGAGTGAGTGAGAGAGGGGGGTTGGGAAAATCTGCCGCAGCCATGCCCAGACTTACATCAGATTGTATTGCTTAAAAAATTAACTACTTGTGGTGGGGATGGAAACAGGTCGGGGTACGCAAAACCGCGTTTCCACCTCTAGAAAGCACCGCGAGAAACGGCTCCAAGTGCGCACGCCGTCTCTCGCACCGGCGTTTAAAACGGCCACGAGAGATTTTCCGAGCTCTCGCTGTAAAGTCGCGCTCTCGTTAGCGCCGAGCTGTGACAACTGGATGGCAGTAAGGCCATGGGAATGCCTAGACCCCGGCCAGCCCTCGGTGGCTGCCCGGGGGCACTTTTGTTTTGACAAAAGGAATTTTGATTTGCTTTTTTTTTTTTTTTCGCATTCAAGCCTCACATAGAAAATCAGAGTCAGGCAGGAAACTGACTTCACTAAAGATTCAAAAAGATTCAAATATATGGTTTAAAAAAAGAATTTACATAATATCTTTTTAAAAGGCGCATTATGTTTTAAAATACACGATTCCTATTTCATTTAAAAGAGATATTGAATAAATAATGAACAAATTACACATTTCTTGCAATCTCTTGTTTCCCAGTGAGCCGATATCTAGTAGCAGTAGACCCTTGGTCCCTTTAATATCTCAGCACCTGTGTTCCAATAAGCTGCTCATGTCTTTACTGTTTAATTCGCTTCAGCAAACTGTAGTCGGCCCTAGAGTGTGTGAACATTTGTTCAGAGTTAGAGGGAAGAGTGTGAAATTTTATTTATAAAGTGCTAAATCACAACAACAGTAGACTCATATAAAGGTAAAGGGTCTTTACCTTTATATGAGGTAAAGGCCCTACAATAATACAGAAAAAACCTCAACAATCACACTACCCCCATGAGTAAGCACTTGGTGAGAGTGGGAAGGAAAAACTCCCTTTTAACAGGAAGAAACCTCTACCATAACCAGGCTCAGGGAGGGGCAGCCATCTGCTGCGACCACTTGGGGGTGAGGGGAGGAAGACAGGACCAAAGACACACCGTGGAAGGGTTTTATATGTAGTAACATTTGCTTTTTGTATTTTCAGCCTTTATTTTGAAAGGATAGTGCAGAGACAAGGCAGGGCAAGAGTGGAGGAAATGGCCAGGGGGCAGACTCAGACTGTGCAGCTGCAGCAGCCTTTGGCATACCGGTCACCTGCTCAACCAGCCCACAGTTAAAGGGCCACCCGCCCAGTATTGCCTGAGGTTTGAGCTACCTGAGGAGGCCTTGGGGGGTCAGGCCACACCAAAGTCAAAAGGTCTTTTACACTCCATTCAGTTTGCATGCTGAGCACATGCAAATAAAGAAATGCAAGCATTGTGAATCCAGGCTCACTGTTACCTCAGTGAACCACCTTTCCAGTCTTACTGACCACACATTGTGGTTTACACCATAAGCCACATGTACACACATTGACACACACACACAGATATGTCATCCACTGTTAAACAACCTAAGGAAGTTTTATATGAAGATAACTGAAATGTTGCAGTGCAAGCACGCCTAAATCTCCCTGAACCTCACCACGATACAACCTTCTCTAACCCTCCTGTTGTCCCAACGGATCTGTAAGTGAACGCAGGAGGGGGAAAATGTGGAATTATAAAAGTGTCAGAAGCTGAAAGACATCCCGACCACACGGCCGACAACTCAGGCAGCCTAGCCTTTGTGACTTGTAAAGCCTCCACGTCTCCAAGTTCAGCGCTCCGTCTATGCTATCTGTCACTCTGTCAGCTGTGGCTCCCACACCAATAACTGGGTATCGTGTAAACAAGCATTTCAGTTACGCCTCGCCTGCTGAGCACGCTCCTCCTCCTCCTCCTCTCTCTGCTGCTGCTGCAACAGGTGCTCGAGCTGCTTCGGCTCAGCTCGCCCCGCGCCCACAAATGAGAGGAGAGGAATTTAATTAGTGTCTGATCCAAAGGCCACATCTGCCAAGAGAGAGACGGCGCAACGCAAGACAACATGGGCAGAGGAGACATGTCTGTGTGTGTCAGTGCAGGGAAAGTGTATCACAGTGTGTGTGTGTGTGACTGGAGTCCCCCCATCCACCCACCCACTAAGCCTCTGGCCACTGAGGTGTCTGCGGTTGCCAGATTGAGAGGCTGGTGATGTGGAAGCTGTGTGTGTGTGTAGCTTACATACCCTAACCCACACTACCTATGTGTGTGAGTGTGTGAGTGAAGTATCTGTACTCATAACCGTGCATGTTTCTCACTATGCTATTGCAAAAGAAAAAAAAGGGTGAAAGCAGCCAGGGCTCTCATGTGCCGTAGGCCCTGACATACTGCGCTACTCTGCTGTGACTACCCGCCTTCCCCCTCCCCGCCCACCCGTCCGCCGCTACCAACACTCCCCGTGTCCGTTTGGCAGGGAGACATGTCGAGGATGAGAGAGAAAAGCCTCCCCTGGGTGCTGCGCTCCAGCTAACCCAGATTTTATGCAGTGTGACACACAGAGGAAGACACCGGCTCCTGAGCTCCATTCAGAGCTGAGCTGTCTGAACTGAGGCGACCCGGGGAGCAGATAATGCTTAAATAAGAGGCGTGCAGCGGGGGCCAATCCAGCAGGCGCTGGTGTGGGATTGAATTAGCAGCAGAAGAAGTGCTGATCAGTTGAGTTTTGGCTCAGCGTATTCCCTGACCAGTGAAACACTTGTAATAAAGTGATAAAAAGTAAAGGTGGGACACAGTGCTTTTTGGGGTTTAATTGTGCCAGTTAATGGGCTCCAGTTGTGGCCGCCTACATTGAGAGATGATGATTTATGGGAAAGTTTTATCAGAGACATAAGAGGGAGAGGGTGATGAAAAACTCCTGAGCTATCCAACTACATCAAGACTGTAAAGGACATAATCAGCAACATCCACATCCACCAGATAAAGTGTGACACATCGAGGTTTAGGGTTAAGGCCTCTTTGGACAGTAAAAGAAAGTAAATCCTCACAGGTTTACTTTTAACTCATGAGGCATAGGTCATCATCTGTGATTATCATTCTAACCTAAACTATTAAAATGTGCCATTTTAAGTGTCCCAAGAAGCTGGGACGGGCTCCAACTACAACGCTGAATCTGATAAGCAGAAGGAGCTAGATGGATGGGTGTGTGGATAGGATGTGGTTCTCTCCAAAACACAGCACTAGGGTTAGGGATGCCATTGATAATGACTTTAACCTCGCATATTAAAAGCTTTTTAATGTGGGTGCTCCTACACTTCTCTGCAGATGGGTCAAAAACACAAAATAGCCTTCTTTTGCATGCTATGCGTGGAGTTTTGAAGGATAAAGAGGATACAAACCTTTAGTTACGACTATGATGCCAGTCATCCCTCTTCTAAGGATTCAAGATACCATCAGCACAGTCAGCAGCAAGGCCAGCACTCACTGCCACTACAAGAAGATCTGTGGATTATGACTTTAGTTCAGATTAAAAACAAACTATGCACACCACCTAGCTGAGGCTCTATTTTCACTCTCATTCATTTCATTCACATAGAGATGCGTCGATATACAGTGAATATATGATGAAATGCTGCTGCACAAGAGTATATCTTCTACAAAATCATGCTTTTTTAAACATCAGTCGTTTGCTGAACAGTGTTTGTCTGATCTTATCATATTGTATCTTAACTTGATCTTTCCTTTCTCGGGAATGACTCACATAAATCTTGACTCTAAATTCTTTTTAAAGTCTTTTAAAATATTTCACGGTGATAATAATAAAAAAAACCGCAGGAAAACGTAGGAACTAAATAGAAAAGAAACTATTAGCCCCTCCTTCAAACTCTACTTTGAGAGAAAAGTGCAAACCAGATATTTATATTCACATGCCAACATTCCAGTTTTACATCATCTGTCTTATCCAGTGTGTAACATTTAATCTATGCGGTCATTTAGATTTAGATTTTTGGCACTTGAGAAAAAGAGGTTTACTATCATAGTGTTTCTTCTTCTCTCACGCAGCTTCTCTGTCCTCTTTTTCCTGTAAGTAATTGGGTTTCATGGTTCTGTTAGATGTTTGGCACCGTGGATCTTTTGCTTATCGGTTCCTCTACAGTGTGTGTTACAGTTCATTTCATTTGCAGTTATGCTGACAGCCTCTCTCTTTACTTTTATTTTGAGTCAAATTAACTTGACTGCTTTTATTTGTTCTGCAGATATTGCGACTTTATTGTTATTGTGTTGCCATAATAGTTCAGTGAAAATGATATTTTTGCGACAATCATAACCACTGTAATGACTTTAGCAGTTTCCCCCCAGGTTTTAAATGTAGTACTTTAGAAAGGATTTTTAAGTAACACTTGGTAAGTTATACAAGTCATCTTTTCAGTGAAGCTCGTGGGTTAAGCAACGCGTACAAATCAGATAGAAATCTCAGTGATTTTATCAGTGTTTTTAAAGCGATGTGTCAGGAAATGAAGGGAAAATGATCCTGTAGCGGCCACCTGTGGCGACGGTGGGGACATACAGGCGAGCTTTAAAATGCCACACTCCAAATTCTCCATACTTACCCGACAATAAAACTCTGAACACGTAATAGTTTTCGTTTTTGAAAAGTATGGGTATATGAGTTTTTAAAAGGCTTTAGCAAACAGTGCTAAAACGAGGCTAATGAAGTCTTTGATCAGTGCCAGCTGGTAGTTCTTCTTAAAATTAATAAATTTACAAACTTAAATGTTAACTTATTATTATTAATATTTATCATTTAAATAATGTAAACTTTAAAAAATTCTAGCAGCATCCTAACGGACCTCCCCTTTAAGCAGAAAAAAAACGGGATCGTTTCCGGTTTCGCTGGTCCGTCGATGAAATTGCTCCGTAAGCAAATGCGGGAGGAGAAGAGGGGCAGGTTATGGCCACAATGATTGAGGAAAACGGCCCTTCGACTCACGTATGTGTTTCTCGTTTTAATTTTTCAGTCTGTCTCGGGGTTGTTGGTGCTGTTTAACATGTCAAAACTGAGATTAAAAAATAGTTAAACTGAAAAGTATTTCAACATTGTCATTGCTTCAGTTGTAGCCAATTCGTTAGTCGGTGGCTAACAAATTAGCTTGTACATCTGACCTGGTAACCTGCGTTTATTTAACTGTTTATATGAACGACAGACTAGAGATTCACTATGTGTTGAGTTCTCCTCACCAAAATGCAAAGTTTGGTCATTCTGTCTCAAATCATTATTTTTTCCTCGACCGTCTCAGATTTACCTAAACATTTTATAGTCCAGAGTTTGGATATATATAGTGATTGTTTTAAAATGTTAGCTTCACATATCATTTTTTTCAATATATATGTTTTAAGTCCCATCCACCTACTTTCAGGCCTTTTTATAGCTCAAAACTATTAAAGGTAAAAGCCTTACATTTCCACAGGCCTTTCTTTCTGTAATTTGGGACAGTAAAAAAAGTCACATCGCAAAAATGCAGTAGTGACAGTTTCCAAATGGTATATTGATTCATTTCACAGTACTGTAACATAAAACAAGTAGAAAGCTTTTAAACATGAAATTCTTGGTCACAGAAATTAAGAAAATGTCATTTTCATTCAACTTTTATTCTGTGTTTAGCAAACATGACAAGTTGTACCAGGAAAAAAAAAGATATCAGTATGTATTAAGAGATATGAGATTTAACAGGAGTGCATGGAATTAATTTTCTCACATTTTATCTAGCTAATCCTTTTTTTGGTTTATGTGTCCCAAAAAAGATCCCGATTCCCTTTCATGGTACGAAACACCAGTGCAAATTTCACACATTTTTCTTTAATAGTTTTTGAGATATTCACATTCAAACACTGTCAGATTTCAAAATTTGGGGTCAAAAAACATTATGAAAGTGGGTCAATGGAGAAAAATGTATACTAAGAAGTGCTTGATATATGAAGCTAAAATTTCACAGCGGTCATTACATGTGTCTAAACAGGGCTTCTTTCAAAAAATATATAATAATGGATTAATAATGTGCCAATTAGTCTGTTAAATAATAATTGAGCCCTCAGCTTAGGTTTTATTTTGCTCACTTTCCCTTATCGTCCTCACCCAGGAGCAGTCTGAAGTGTCCTCATCATCTCAGGCACGGCAGAAGCTGGAGGGGCTCCTGAACAAGAACATGAGGATCCGCATGACAGACGGACGGACTCTGGTGGGCCTTTTCCTCTGCACTGACCGGGACTGCAACGTCATCCTCGGCTCAGCTCAGGAATTCCTTAAATCCACAGGTACGCTGAGGCGACCTGAGCACAGCGTCCACTGATGCCTTAGACTCCGTATAAAAAGGCTGTTCTGCTCTTTTTCCACACCTCGCACTTTTTATGGTGTTGTATTATCAAAGCATCTTTGAAGTGTCTTTCCAGGAAAGATTTAAACACACAGGTGTGCTATCAAACTGTGACTTTACTCAATGCCAAACCATCTTAAAGGTTATCAATAAAGCTAAAAGTAATACTGATCAGAACCAGCAGCTGTGGGAAACTCATACACGATGCTTTTGTCATTCAACATGCTCTGTTGGAGGAGATGTGGTTACTGTGGAGGCCATTCGAGTACAATGAGTTCATTCTCATGTTCAAGAAACCAGTTTGAGATAATCTGAGCTTCATGGCATGATGGTTAGACTGGGGTTATAAAGGGGTGGGCATAGTCAAATACCCCAGTTAGGCTGCAGGTATTTAGACTATGCTATGTTGGTAGCCAGTGGTACATGGCGGGGTAGCTCTTTAAACAAACGCCTGAATGTCACAGTATAAATTGAGACTCATCAGACCAGACAACGTCCTGCTTTAATGTTTCTTTTGTTGTTATTGGGCAAAGCCCTGCTGTTCTTTCTGTATGTGCTGTTCATTCAAAGGTGCTCTTCTGCGTTTGTTGCATGTAATGAGTTATTGTTGCCTTCCTATCAGCTTGGATATTTTCACTTTTTCAGAAATTTCTCTATGAACCACACAGATGGTCGTGTGGGAAAATTTAGACATGTAGTTTACATAACGACATGTCTAAATGCACCGATTTGCTGCCATGCGATTGGCCGACTTGGTATTTACATTAACGTGCAGGTGTGCTTAATAAGGTATCACACAGTAAGTGTAGTCTGACCTGTTGTCTCGTTTTCTTTTCAGACACATTCTCCCAGAGCGAACCCAGAGTCCTGGGCCTGGCCATGATTCCCGGCCACCACGTGGTGTCCATCGAGGTGGAGGCAGACAGCCTGGACGACACACAGGGATTCGGAGCTAACCACTGACGGAGCTCCGTCTGTTTGGACAGCATTCATGTGACCGAGTCCTGCCGAGCCAGACTCTAGGCCGTGGTCGATCCCAGGAGAACGGACGACGTCAGTCTCTCAGACTCTTTGGACGCAGACCTTCTGTGTCGATGTCGTGGATTCAGTCAGTCCCTCGGCGACTGATGAAAAAGTGCATTTGCGTCAACTGCTGCACAATGCAGCGAGTGCAGAAATGGTGTGGGCGTGCATGAGGTGTGAGTAAACGAGAGCTTACTTGTATGTGTCTCAGTGTCTGCAGTGCCCGTCTTTATTACAGTGTGTTTTAAAATAAATCGCCCTATTTGAGACTTTGTGTTGCCGTCCTCGCCTCGCTTTAAAACACAGCAAAACAAAATGAGCAAAAATGCGTTTGTTTCAATATTTTAATACACTTGAGCTTGTCAGCTGACTCAGTTTGGCAACAGGAAAAAAAAAAAAGCCTCCAACAAAAGAAACCCAGAAACAAAACCGTCCCACTCAGAGTTAAATACAAAGAGAGCCTGTCACATTTTGTTCACACAATCAAGCAGTAGAAGCTGGTTACAGTCAGTGTGTCCTCAAGTTATTAAAGACAAAATAACTTAATTTGTGCTAAAAAATAAAGTCTTTAAAAACATCATCTCGGTTCACCTGTGTGGCCCGTGTGGCTGCAAGAACCTCATTTATAAACTGCATGAAGTTCGTATGTGTGTCAGTGCGACCCATTGGATAAATATTATCCAAACATGCTGCTCGTGAAGTAGATATGGTGTACCTCGGGAAAAATAAAGCAGCAGCTCAGACACGCTTCAGTAACACCCATTTATAAATGAGGTTCTCGGATAGCCACTGAAGACACACGGGAGTGTGTGGAAGGCTTTTCAAAGGCCTACAGTAACATTTCAGGAGTGAAGTGGCCTTTTCAAACAAAGTAAAAGTGCAAGCTTTCGAAACGTTTCCTTGAAAGGAGGAGGGAAGGAACAGAAATACTCTAAATGTCAATGCAGTCATTTGCGGCTGTTTTTCTAAACTTTTTTTTTCACTTATTTTGTGCACTTACATCCATAATGTCTGCCCCTGGATATAAATGAACATCTCCAAACCAAAATTCACACAGAATTATTCCAATTAGCTATCAGGAGGCGCTGATTTAAATTTAAAAATATACACGTATACATCACAGAGCACCTACGCTGACTTCAGATCCATAGGATATTGAAATTCTTACACCTACAGGTTTCCTGTAGCGGTGCTCGAGTTTCACCATAAATATAGCTCAACAGCCACAGGTCTAATGATAAATATAAAAATCCTGCTTCTCTAGTGTAGAGACGTCTCGACGTGGTAAAAAATAGAGACTGAAATCAGTAGACCTTTAAAGAATACTGCAAGCAAACGGACAGACGTACAGATTTCCAAGCAAAGAGTCACGGCACTAAAAATAAAAAGGAGGCGCCGAGTAGCGCTTCAAAGAATGGCACAAAGAAAGAATAAGAGCGGACACTGCTTCCAGCCGTCGCACATTTCCTACGGAGCTCGTCTGTAGACTTCATTTTCTTCAAGCACAACGTAATTTATGAGTAACCACAGGTAGGTCCTTTGATTTTGTGGTAAAAAGTCCAAAATAACAAAAAAAAAGTTTGCGAAAACCTGCGTCCAGGCTGCCGCAGAGCTTTTGAGGAAGACTCGTCCTCCAAAATCCCCCGAAGGTTTTTTCCAAAGTATCCAATCCACCTAAAACGACACTACCCCCCCTCCCCGCCCGTGTGTTCGTCAAGTCCTGCTCTCTAGTTGTACTGGAACTTGAAGTGGAAGCTGCCGCCAGATTCAAAGGGGTTGAAGTGAAAAGGCCAGCCCTGCTGACCTCCGCCGCCTCCTTGCTGGCTTTCTGGGTCCAGCGGATCCTCGCCCGCATCAAACTTCTGCCTCATTTCTAAGAAAAAAAAAAGTAATAGAGAACAGGATCGTTAACATTTTAGTAAACGATCAACTAGTTTGGACTTTGTTTGACAAACATCCATTTTCTTCTGCTTTTACAATTCTATTCACTTTTTTACAGGACCTGTGATGGTGGTGAACTTGAACTTAGGTGCCACTGTGCTGCCCCCTACTGTCACAATGCCAAAATGACATCAGTCTATTCATCAGACAAAACCTGACGGCTGACAGTCAGTAAATGTTTGTTCTTTGACTGCAGAGCTGCAGTTTTAACGTCTGCTGAGCAACATTTTTTGTGAAAAGAAGAACGAAGCCGCTCGTTTCTTTCACATGAATGTTCTCATAGCTCAGCTTAACTTCACCGCACATCATTTCTGAGAAAGCCAAACTTTCTAAATTAGCCCAACTAATTTTAATGCTTGTGTTCTGGACTGTAATACATGCTGCTCACCATGCATTGCTATTGGAGTTTTCGGAGACTTTTCAAGTCTATTATAAGTGGAAGAAAATGAAAAGATGGATGTTTATGGAGACTGTTGGAATTGGTGACTTTCCCTCTGGGATGAGTAAAGTATGTCTAAAATCCCGGAAATTCTTTAAAATCAGATATTGGTGGTGTGGAAATGTTGCTGTAAAGACTAAATAACAAGGCTGGCTGCTGACCTGGATCAGTAAGGACCTCTTTGGCCGATGCGATGTCGATAAACTTCTTTTCTGCTTCTTTCTTCTCGGCCTCAGACTGGAAGTTGTCGGGGTGCCACTGCTGTGCCAGCTTCCTGTACGCCTTGGTGATCTCCTGCTTGTTGGCACTCCTGAGGAAGTTTCTGAGCGTTAGCGGGCCCTCTTATAAAATTGACGGGCGTTGACTTTGGCATCAGAAAAATAAAGTAAACGTGTAGTGTTTATGTTGAAGCCGGCTGGACTGGTTACCTGCTGACACCGAGGATTTTATAGTAGTCCCTCTTACGAGACTGCTTGAGCAGCCTCTGGGCTCGGTCCAGCCCCTCTTTGATATCGTTGCTGTCGCCGTCGAACTCTCTCGCCTCCTGGTAGTCCTCCACAGCTGCACGACACACAAGGGATTTACAGATTACTCCTAAATATTATTTGTACCACATATCTGAGGCTAATTATGTAATATTGTTTTACTTTAATCATCAATTATCAATAAAAATCTTAAAAAGTTCTGAGATGAAAGCTGTGTCTATGGTTACGATAGGCTCATGACAGGACATAAGCATGGGATGAGTTGAGTTGCATTCATTGAGAAGACTGTGTCACCTTTCTCGTAGTCCTGGTTGAGGATATAGGCCTCTGCTCTGTCTCTGAGGACGTTGGCGTTGCGGGGGTCTCTCTGGTGGGCCTCCGAACACACGTCTATCGCCTCGGTCGCTGATTTAATCTGGAAATGATATGAAGAAAAAGGTGAATGATTACAAACTAAGACTGAACTCTAGTGAGAACTAGGACAGTGCGTTTGCAAGGGAATGACGATTTATTTAGAGGTTCCACATCTTCTGGGGGATGTGAGAGGAGAAAAATGAGCATCGCTTCGTGAGAAAAGCTGCCGTCACTCTCCCACCTTCACAAGACAGAAGCAGATCCTCTCTTTGGCCAGGTTGGTGTAGTACGGGACATTAGGCTCCGTCTGCATTGCTGATTCATACTTTTCTATGGCTTCTTGATGCCTAATGGAGAGAGAGAAACACAGTTAAAGGTCAAAGCACTTAACATGCTGTGGCACTGAAGCAGTTCACAGTTTACAAGCTGCAAATGTACAGATGAGTTCATTATTATCCCACCTATGAAAATAAAATAAGTGCCGTTAAAGAGAGCCAGGACTTTCAAACACAGCATTTCCAAACATGCTTGTTTTATTTTGGATGCTGACATTATTTTACTTTGGGCACAGAAACACAAATATGTCATAAAAACTACCTGCATCGACATTATTAGCCCCCCTGCTGCTAATACTCGGTTCTCTTTGCTGGTTAACAGCCTGCAACTGTTTCTTCTAGTTCTCAATAAGGCTCTCACGCGTGACCTGAGGAATCACAACATCACTTTTCTTTGATGAATCTCCAGCGCCTCCAGATTTTTTAAGTCAGGGCTTTTGCCCAGGCCAGTCAAGGACATTCACTTTGGTCTTCTGGAGCTTGTTCTTAACCCTGAGTTTTAGGTTGTTGCCATGTTGTTCTGGGGTCTTCTTAGTTTCCTTTCTCTTCCAGGCTTGTTCTGCACTGTGTGGCTCTCTTTGAATTTTGCAATGATGCTTCTCGCTCCAGTTTTTAACACTTGGAAAACGCTGTGATATGTTTGCATATCGCCTCCTGCAACGTGCGCATCGGCCATTCTTTTTCTCAAGTCTAAACTGTCTTCTTTTGTCTTTGACCAGCTGTCTTCTCATTGACAGCTCAAACTCTTGCTGAAGTTTTTTGCTGTGTGCAAGTTGGACGATAACCCTCAGTTTTAACTTTAACTTACAAGCTGAGCATTACAAGTTACAGCAAATCATTGCACAGCAGTGGTTTGTGGTTTTTTTAGGGGGCTAATAACACTGACTCTGGTATTTTTTCTTCTTTTATGAAATTATTCTGTTACTGTGTGAAAATATTTATAATTTATGCTTTCTAAAGAAAATGCTGTGTTGAAAATCCCTTGCTCTGTTAAAAGCAAAGGGAAAATTTTCATAGCTGTGCTAATAATTCTGCCCTCATTTGTATATGTTACACTTTCAGAGGCTGAGACTATAGCTGCCCTCTGAAACTCTCATTTGCATGCAGGTGGAAGCGAAGTGCCTCAGCCCAACAGAAATACCCACCTGCCCTCCTCAATCAGCGCTTCTGCCGAGTCCAGCTGCTTGCTGAGCTTCTTCACCTGCTTGTAGTGGCTGAAGCACTCCTTGTCGTCCTGGTCGAGTTTCAGACACTCTCTGACGTTGCTGCGTGTGAATAGATGGAAAAAGTGAGACTTCATTTGCGTGGCTGAGCAAGCCAGACCTATTTGTTTATTCCAGGAACGACGCTCACTTGAGTGACTCGTGGTGGTCGCCGAGGCTGTAATGCAGCTTGCCGAGCTTCAGAAAGGCGGCGCGGTTGTCGTTGCGAAGCCGCGTCGTCGGCGTGAGATCCTGGATGGCTTTCTGTGGATCTCCCATCCGGATGTAGCACTCTGCGCGGAGCTCCCGAGACTCCGGATCCCAAGGAGAGATCTAGAGGAAGACGGAAACTTTTTATAAATGAGCAATCAGCTCAAAGATCATAGTGATTCCTTTAATAACTAAAATGCTGAGGCATTAAAATCAGATTTGAAATCACACTTTGAAGCAGCTGGTATTGGTAAGATTGTAAATGAAAAATAAAATTAACCAACAAGACCCCTACCTCTATAACTCTCTCCAGCACAGTGATCGTTGTGCTGTAGTCCCCTTGGTGGTACGCGGCCTGGGCCTCCTCCTGCAGCTCCTCCAGCTCGTTCGCCTTCATCAGCTGGTTCTGAGCTTCCTCGTTGTCTGAGGACCGCTGCAGCTGGAACAGCAGCTACATATTATTGTGGCAAACATACGTGGGAGAGTGATTTAGGACTGCAAAAGCAGCACGTTATAAAACCTACCACTGCCTCAAAGTCCTCCCGTGCCTCCTGCGTGCTGCCCTGCTTCAACAGGATGTTCCCTCTCTGCAAGCGGGCCTGAAAAATACAAACAGATGAAAAGATAGGATGACGAAGACTCGGAAGAGGGCAGAAGAAATGGAATATGATAGAAGACATTAAGAAAGGCTAGCGAGTGACCTACAGCCAAGAAATCGGGCTTGAGTTGGATAGCCTTGGTCAGATCTGGCAGGGCAGATTTGGACTTTCCCATGGCCAGAAACACTGCAGCTCGCTTGTAGAAGGTCAGGTAATTCTTAGAGTCACCCTCTGGAAAATGCATCATCACAATTTATTCATTTTTATTTTAACAAAAGCAACAAACACAAGCTTTGAACCTCTAAACTCTTTTACCGCACAATAACACACCTTTCTCGACTGCACAGACAAGCACCGACTATGTAGACTGAAAATGTCAGCCAGTGGCAAGAACGTGTCTGCGTGTGTGTAACCTTACCCACAGCAGAGTGGTAGTGGGACAAGGCTTCAGCCAGCTGACCAGCTGCCAAAAGTTTGCGGCCCATCTCCAAGTGGTGCTCAATCTCAGCCTGAGTTTCCCCAAAGACGCCTGTAACATAAAACTGGGTGTGAGCCTCGCTGGAAACACTGAAGAGGGACAACTTTATAGAAGGAAACCACAGTGTAGCCCAGTGTTCTTTGTGTGTTTGTCTTTTGTTCACACTTGCACCTCTCTTCTGATGACAGAGGCTGCACAAGCTCAGAAAAAGATTCAAAACGCACAATCGAGCTGCGGCATCCGACCAACAACCTAACTTGTCTCCGAACTGCTCAGCCTGACCTTTCCCTCTGATGTACTCATTTCCACTCTATTCCATCCTCCCATGAAACTCTTAACATCTTCACCTCAGTCTCCTGTCTTTATACCAGAGCGATCATCTCAGCAGGTCTCCCTACTATCTTCTAAACCATCTCTTTCACCGCTTTCCTTTTTCACTCATCTTCACCCTCTCCCTTATTCACCTCTTATGCACTTTTATGCTAAATATTGCACAAGTCACATTATCAAAAATATATTTTAACTACCTAAAGTGAAAGTACTCATTACACAGAATGGCACTTTTCAGAATCATACACATTATATTAGTGGATCATTGCAGTTGAGGACTGTTTTACATCCTTCTACATTGCTTATAGGCATTGATCTATAATAATGCAGTTAATCTGCAAATGAATAAGCGACTAAAGTCTTAAAATCTCCATCTGCATCCAAAATATAGTGGAATAGAAGCAGAAGGTAGAGAAATACTTAAATACAGTACAGTTACTGTGTATTAAACCTCACCTTTAGTAGTAAAGTACGCAGTTAAGTGTAGAGCTGAAAGTAATTTAGCGCTGGCGGGGAATGAGGGAGGGGTGAAACTAAAGAAAACCGATGTAATGAAAAGTGAAAGTGGAGTATTACTGCAAGACGAAACCTTATACAATCAGTGTTTTTAAAATAACATATAAATGTAACTGAACTATAAATATTACTAAGAGCAGAGGCCTGACACAGGTAAAAGCAGGTGGTGCTGGGACTGTAAATCCTCACTACGCCCCTGGTTGTAAGGATGCTGCCCTTGGAAACATCTTTTAAAGCCTTCATGTTTAACTTTTACAGATTAATAGCCGGTATCTTTAAATCAGAGCAACGATATAGTAATTACTTTTTTGTATTAGTATTTTAAGAGCAGTTTCGGGGTCAGTAATTAAGCCGGCTTGATGAATTTTTAGCACTAAAGACGACAAACAAGTGAGTAAGCAGGCTGTTTTTTGTTTTCTTTTAACGTGAAGTGGGTCTTACCGTCCAGCTGGATGTCCAGGATGACACACAGCAGTGACAGGGAGCACAGGACCCCGCTGAGTCCGGCCCGCCGACACGGCTCCATCTCTTCCCGGATTCACGCTTTAACACCGGAACCAGCCAACTTCACAGCTCTGCGTCCGCTTCGACTGAAAGCGCCTGTCTGTTTCATTGAAATCTGCCTGTTATTTATTACACCCTCATGGGTCTCCCCTCTCTACAGAACAGCTACGACGGTGTATTTACGGTCCCAATCGGACAGTATTCCGTGTAGAAATGAGTCGTATCGCTGAAAGGTTCCTCCCCTCACAAAAGAACTAGCAGCTTAAATTCACTACCCCGCCTGAATTAATTATTTTCTAGACTCGTTTTAAAGTTAAAACGACTAGTCTGTTGCTGAAGCCGAACAGCTGACCGTCCTTACACTTTGTAAACGAAACCTTGCCCCTCTGCCAGAGCCGTCCCCGCCCTATCTGCTCTACTTTTCCGTGGTTGGTCCGCGAGGTGCACATCCGTGTTCGCCCGGAAACGTGGGCTGCTCTCATTGGATAAGCTATTTTAACAGTGACGCTCCCACCATGTCCCTGCATGGGCCCGGCAGCCTGCACACTGCGGCCAAACGTCACCACGGGGTATGTAATTGACAGTGGTAACACATGACGACGTGTTATGCAACGTAAAACAACCTGCTGAACAGGCCCAGTCTGTGTTTTTACCTCAAAGAATGCGAAATGCAAAGAATGCGAAAACCGTAATCATCCTGTCCTAATAATAATAATAATAATAATAATAATAATAATAATAATAATAATAATAATAATAATAA